CCAAATGATTATTGCAAAAAAAAAGTTATTCAATTGACATTTATGCCAATACTAACGCCATAAATGTATTGTTGAGTCAAATGTTTCTAACATACAATCAGTAGTTGCTGTCTCAGATCGAATCAACATGTCTAATTTCCTCTGACAAGATTCACTTGTTGTTAAAAAAGACAACGAGCTTAAAAGTCGAGCATTATGATACGTTTCATTGAGTAAGAATCGCGTAATTGGTTTTAGGTGTCTCCCATGAATTCCAATTGTTAGATGCTGTAACCGCCGATAAAAATTAATAATTAATTGAACTTTATTTAATGTACATGCTTCTTTAACAGTCAAATCTGTAATAGTATTTAGATTGGATACCAATCGAAAAGTTTCATTTTGTTCAATTGTTCGAGTAGTATGTCCGTACAACGGCATGGATTCCAAGACTAATATGTGAATATTCGGCATCAAATATAGTAATTCAATTAGTTTCATGAAAGGAAAATAATGAAACTCGATAACTAGCTTAGTAAGTTTTCTTAATGGAATCATATCACTCAGAGAACTTAAAATCGAATCATGATGTTTAGTAAATCCATCTTTCAAAGTAAGTTCAGTAGCACTGGGAAAATAATTCATAGAATTGATCATTGCTCTTTCACTTTCAATATGAACATGATGAACTGAATTCAGATTCGTTTTGTTGAAGTTTAAAACAGTTGTATCTGTCGATTGCTCACATAATAAATAGTTTTTTCTTCTGAAAATTGAAAAATAAATTATATTCGACGATCAAACTTTTAATGTCTAGATACCTATAGGGATTTGTTGAATAGAAGATTATGCGATTTCTATTCCTTGATCGATGGCATTGATGTGCAAAAAACCATTGCCGTTCGATCCAAAATGAATCTATGAACTGATTGATGTCGGAATCTAATACCAGCTCATTATTATCATTACTATTAGTAACATTTCATGATTTACCACCTATCTTTACCCAGAGTATGGATGCAACGGTGACGGTGAAGCAGTGGACCAGTGGCACCAGTGCGTGGGTCAATTTTTAGTAGGTGAGGGCGAGGATGTGGATGTGAGAGATGAGAATACTCAGACTCATGTCTGAACCCACACTCATATCCAAACTCACGCTCCACGCTCGCACCCACACCCACAACTATACCTGCATCAACACTCATGCCCATATCATATGATGTAGACTACACAAATCATCGCCCGAACGATCGATATTGAATGAACTTCAACAAATCATGCTACACAATAGTAACCTTGATTCATGACGAAGTGATCTCTTTAGATGCACTATTTATCGTTGAGAAAAAAATGCCCCATATCGTAAATACCGGACAGTTTTTAGCGGTAGACCGCCGGTTTTCTTCTAGTTTTTATTACATGGGGAGATAATCGTACATTGAGAGCAGCAATGTTCAAATAAAGCTACGAGAAAAGAATTGTTTTCTTAAAAATATCATTTCAATCTGTGGTAGAATAATTGCATCATACTGATCATGTTTAGAAAGTAGTTAGAAGCATTGAAAAGTTGTATCACTATCACTATAACTACGAGATGCGCAGATTGACTGTTCTATAGATAGAATAGTGCGTTTCTTAAGAAAACAAAAACACTCCGTTAGATAAAGTTTTTTTCAAAGCGCTGCACAAAGGTATGGCTCTTGTTGGAAAGAAAGTAAAAAAACGTCTTGATACGAATGATAAGATACGATATTTAACAAAAACGTAACATGAAAGATAGAAGCTCTCCATGCATCACTATCTGAAGAAATCCACACGTTTGATTGCACCGAATAGCCGTTTTTTTTGAAAAAACTAAGTGTGTTGTTTCTATCATAATTCTTCATAAACCTATTCTGAATAATCGAATCTTATAGGTACGAACATCAGAAAGACTATGTTATTAGTAGGTTTAATTATCTTTATAAGTTTGATTCAAAGTACTAATAGTGATGACTGCTTCTGTGGATGCTGCAATGAATATTTTACAGCCTGTATCTCAACCAACTTTTTTGTCTCATCGTGCACGAATGAAACTTGTGCGATTCAATGTCGAACTAAGGTGTGAGTGTGAGTATGGGTGTGGGTGTGTGGGGGGAGGGGTGTCGGTATGGGGTGTGGGTGTCGGCGCGGCCGGATGTGGGTGGAAGTGGGTCTAGGTTTCGGTGTCGGTGTGGAATGTGGGTGTGGGTATGGGTTGGTGTGGGTGAGGTGTTGGTTGTGAGTGTGAGTGTGTGGGCGTTCTTTCGTTCCACACCCACACCCACACTTACAGCCTACCCACACCCACACCCTCGAAGAGACTCCGATATTGTTGTTGACGAAGGTCCAATATCGGAATGGCGAATAAAAGTCGAGTTTTGACTTGTTCTAGGAAGCATCCGAGTCATCTTTTGAACAGATAGATCTTAAAGAAAATGAATATTAGATAAAAAAACTGATATTAGTTTCGAATATTGAAAATTTCGATACTTCTCACAAAAAAATCTCGTAGTCAACGGTTTATTGACATATTCTTTTATCAGATATATTTTAACATAATCGAATGTTTTCTTTTACGAATCGAAAAAGAAACAATCGATCACCAAAAAAATTTTTTTCAAGATGTATCTCTCTCACCAATACATATATGTACAATCGTATCAATACTAACTGTTATGAACTACATTTGGAATGAGGCAGATCATAGCCATGCGCAAAGGGATCAATATTTTTCTTATAATCAAATAGATCGATCAAATTGAAAAGTCCCAACCGCGTTGGTCAAACAGAAGCAACTCATAGATCGAGAAATAGGATCGTACAGAGGAGAATACAAAAAGAATAAAATAGTTTAAGAAAGTAAAGGAGTTCGTACTTATCGTTCTAAGAAAATATTCTCGCAATTATTGATATAATAAACTAATACATACAGATAGAACATTGTTAAATCATAATTTTGACAAAATCGATCTCCGAATATATTCGGATTTTCTCACACTTTTGCCGATAAATGAAGGAATATAGGAGATATTTTGATAAAGCGACTTTTTTTTATTATACATTGTTGGGTGAGATAGAATATCGGTGAAATAATGTTAACAACATCATTCTGACCGATTATTAAACATTAAGATTGAAATATTAAGACGCTCAGTACTCATGTTTAAATACGAATTCATATGCAAAATTTTGAAGCATTATCGACTTAATCTAATATGATGAAATGTATCAATTTTTGGTATTTATACCATTGTGTTATCTCTACCGATGGGAAAAAACAATCAATGAATCAAAAAAAATGAATAAACCGATAGAGCAGAAATATTTTACCTAGATAAAAACCCGACATAACTGACCGTAAATATGTAGAAAAAAGTGTCTTGTATTCATAGAAAGATTGTTTAGGAAGATGAAAAACATTTTCTTATTTATTCCAAGATATTCTTGTAAGTCTGAATTATTTTCATTGATCGTCGCATTATATGATATGCATAGAAACAGAAGGATATTCTCCGTAGACACATATCTCTCAATGAGATAAACGAAGTTCATATGTTTTGTCTGATAAGCTTCAAATCGAATTCACCAAGAAGATTAAATTTCGAAACAACTATCATTGACGTGTGAAATTTATGGCAATACAAAATGAAGCTGGGAGAAAAAAAAGAATTCTGCAACTAATCAATACATCACAGAACAAGAAAGAAGAACAAATAACGTGTGTCGTACGCAATGGCTTGGATTTTTGACATGTTCTTTTCATGCTGCGTCGATGTCTGGCAAACAACGAGAAGAATCTGCAAAAATAAACTTTTCTTCCACGTTAATTTTTTTCAGGTTTTTGTTTTTGTCAAAGAGATTTAAGAAAGAGAATGATTCATAATTTAACCTCGTTTGATGAGAAAAAACAAGCGATGTTTCTATTGAGTAAAAGGCATTTCAAATACTATTAACGAAATTTTGCTTGCCAGGACGATTCAAATAAAACAATTAATTCGTCTGAATTAATTAGTATAGAAAACATACGCAATAGAGGTTACACATATCAGACGAAAGTGTGCACCTTTGCCAATGACAGAATATCGTTTTTTTTATACAACTTTTAATACTTAAGTCGAGTGAATCTGATCAAGAACTAGAGCTAATGTACGAAACCATATTCAACTAATTAACTCGACCAAAATTGTCGCAAATCACAGAAAGTGGCTTATTTTCTCATTTAGTTTTTGAAGATTCTATGCCATCATATTTCATACGACTCCTACTGGATCTGTATCTAGAATATCAAAAAATTTCAGCACAATAATTAATATGTCGATCGTTTAATTAAATTTTCGCAGTCACTTCGTAGAAGTTTGACAACTTTCCACATTGCAATTTGTGAAAGTGTCAAAACAGTCCTGAGAGAAAAATATCCGAACTTTTCTATGACAATGAAACTCTAGTCATAAATGAAAAAAAAAAACAGGAAATTTGTAAAATTTATTGGAATCGATGCGTACAGAAAAAGAAAAAAAATTTTCATAATTTCGGAAGTTTCTCGCAAACTTCAGATATTATTGTTGTAGCTTGTGACTTTTATTTTTGAAATCTGAATATTCACTTTCTTGAGGAGATTCATTTGATCAAATTATTGTTTTCAACCAAAATTGAAGTCGTCTAAAATTAACATCTTTATTCATTGGCATGTGCAGAGAACAATAACAAAAAATGACAAGTGATCTTAAGATCAAAATTACAATGAATTGGAAGTAATAAGATTTCGATTGTGACTTGGAAAGTCAATTTGATAATGATAATCAATTTTCTATTTTTTACTTTGTTGGAAAAGATCTATTTTTAAACTGAAACTCGTCTCACACGAGAAATTTGATTTCATCATTAAATTTTTATATCGAAATTAGTATATAAAAAAAACCTGCAATTAAGACAAATTAATAAATAATAAACCTGAATTAAAGGTTGATGATTGGTAGAAACCAATTTTGAGATCTGTTCTTTTATGTAAATATTACTTCTTTAATTTGAATCATTCGAAATCCATCATCTGGATCGAAACAGGAGACGACTTCAAATTGTCGACCGGGTATAAGTAGAATATCATCATGTTCATCACTGAATGTATGACGACTAATATCTTTGCCAGTTTCACATTCGATAGTGAATAGAGTTCGTTTACTATCTTGACTAGAATTTTTCTCATCACCAAGTGCTTTAACATACGTTGTACCACTAATAAATTCAGACCAAACAAATTTGTTTCCTTCTTGGTATTGACGACTGACATCTTCTGTAATGACTCGATAGATAGTACGATGTTGTGTTTTCAGTTTTGCTAAAGCATGAGAAACAAGTTTTAAATAGTGAAACCATGGTCTAAGTTGTTTTTCGTCATTTGAATTCAATGCTCGATTGAGAAAATAACAAAATGATTGTTCTTTTGTCGACCATTCCATTGTATAAAGCATAATCGAAGCGGATTCATCCGGTGATAAACTATCATCTGGTGCGTAACAATTCAATTTTGCTGTTGTAACCATCTGTTCAAGATTGGGAACGATCTTCATTAGTGGAGCAGTAGCGGTTTCAATAGAAACCAATGGCATTTGTTCGTATTCTTTTGATGATGATGATGATGATGATGATATCGATTGTATATCATGTGTACTTGCGGTTGAACATCGAGGTACTGTTGTGACTGGATGATGTGTGGCAGCTATAAAAGAGAAGCGATTATTATGTTGAAAATCATCGAATGTAAGGGTGTGTGTGGGTGTGAGTGTCGGTGCGGGTGTCGGTGTGGGTGAGGGTAAGAGCATAGATAAGTCCTTCACCCACACCCACACTCTAATAATAAAAAATTTCAAGTCTCTTATGTCGAATCACAGAGTAGTGATGAAGAACAGATAGATGTTAAATCAAAAATAACAACATCAGCTATACAAAGTCATATTGCATTAACTAAACATAAAATAGATTGGAAGAACTGGTCAAGTTTAGGTAGAGATCAAAATCCATATAGATTATTAGTGAAAGAGTCTCTTGCTATTACTGCAAAAACACCTAGTCTTAACATGACTACTAGATCTGTACCTCTTATAGTTTTTCCAGAAGGTTGTGCAAATAGACGAAATACTCAATAGAATATCTTAATTCGACTCATTCATATATATTTACATATATACATAAGAACTATACATACATACATATTTTCTTATATTTTGTCATACTGTAAAACGTCAAAGTTTCTTTACTCTTATCAAAGATTGATATTCTGTCATTTTACCTGTTCACTTTGTAATTATCCATTGTATATCTTTCAACTATATTACTTTATATTACTCATTTTGAGATTTTATATAATTTTGTCGTTCTCTCATCTGATCACTACTAATTTGTTCTCTTATCATATTATTACTAAGTTGTGATCCTGTTCAATTGTTGCTAATTTTCTTGCCTCCCATCACTAGTAAATTGTTTCCCTCATAATATCATTACTAAATTGTGTTCTTATCCTACCATTGTTAATTTGGTTCTTGTCTTATCTTGTCAACTTATGCAAAATCATGTAGTTCTTTATATTAATTTTTGCAAGCGATGTACCAGGTTACTTGATAATGATAATAAATTTATCGAAACGTCGTAAGATGTCCAAAGCTAAATAAAAATTTTCTTTTTCTTTTCTTTATTTTATTTATAAACGCTGCTGTTAAAGATTTTCTCATATAATTCAATTCTCACCCATGAATCAATACGAAAATTACTCATCACTTTTCAGATATTGCTGACGAACCATACATTATGTTGCCACCTATCGAACGATTTCGGACGAAGCCTTTATTTTCACTTGAAGAAGCCGGGGAACCACTTATTCCATTTGTCTCTGAGATAGAGAAAAAAGTATTTATGGCTAAAGAATACTCTAAAAATCCTTCAGATGGTCCTACATTTGATCAATCAGATTCCATTGCACTCTACACTATGGAATGTGATTCGTACACGCATTCACTCTATTATATTCTTAATTCGACATTGCGTACCGAGGATTGAAAACAACTCGAACCGTGGTTACTCTATCTTAAACTCATCCTTAATGCCTTATATCGTCTTCAACCGATTCGTCTGACTGTCTATCACAGTCTTAAATTCGACGCCAAGATAGAACGTGAAAGATATCAAGAAGGAAAACATGTTGTCTAATGGAGATTTTCTTCGTGCGCAGTGAACAAGAATATTTCACAAAAAGCACATTTTCTTAGTACAACGGGCACAAGAAGCTTATTCGTCATCGAGTGTTTACACAGAAAGCACATTGGATAACATTCGTATCATGAGAATGACCAAGAAGTATTACTCTTACCTGGTACTCGGTTTGAAGTTGTCCGATGTGATCGTCGACACGATGATGTTCACAAAATTTATATGAAGGAAGTTGAGCCGCAATTTATCCTTCCAGAACCGCTCTTTATGATTCCAGTGAATCAAACATTACAAAACTCTTCAACTTCAGCGGATGCTCAATCGACAGGCAATTTTCTGTTCTACAATATGTGTACGTGCCAGTTTCTTCCCGACACTTGACAGCTGCGAGAACGTGTTTTTTGAGAAATTTTTTTTTGATTCTGCTATAATTATTTAATTAGCTTAAGAGACACTCCATGAAAAAATCGAGGATAGTATCTGACTTTACAGGAAATTAGAAGTAATAAGCAATGGTCACTTATGATAAAAGAAGTAAAGCTATAGCAAAAATCGTTTAGATCAATCTAATAATATAAAATTAATTATGATACTTTCTTTTAACTGTATTCTGCAATAGGAATATGACGCTTTCAGATTGGTATCATTTCGACAACATAAAAAGGCTATTTATCTTGAATCACTGGAAATCAATAGATCATTAGGCAATCAACATTACTTGTGACAAACAATTTATGAGTTTTTCGTGTACCAGTGTTTTAATAAATTTACTGAGGTATAGAAAAAGACGTTCTCAGAAATAAATTTTGCGCTCGATATAAATGTCTGAGAATTGTTTTCTTATATATTATTTTCTCTCGTGTCTTTTTCTAATCGCGTGATAAAAATAATTTAAAAGGCTTTGCGTTAGTAATAGTTTTTTTTTTCTTTCTTTCTTGTTTTTCTTGACAATTATAAAAATAAATTCAAAGCAAGAAAATATCTAATTGTATTATTTATCATATCACACTATCATGACTATAACGATCGCCACTGTCACATTAGTGCTATTGCTGTGAATACTTTTTTCTCTTTCCAAACGACAAATGGAGATATCAAATTCGATAAAAATATTCATTGTGTTTAGTGCTTATTTGCTATTCATGCACTTTTGTTGGTTACTATTTGATCACCCTTTGCCTTTTTCAATTAGAATAAAAATGATAAAAATGGTTACAGAAGAAGAATAGACAAAAAACGACAAGAAGAGATCAAAGAGAAAGATGCATATAAAATTTTTCTATAACGAAGAGAAAAAAACGCCTTCAACACGTATACTATACGTGTTTAGAACGGAAAAAAAACAAGAGCTTTTACTTCTCTCATTTGTCATTATGTGTGTGAGAGATAGAAGTCATAAAGTATAATTTTGTAAGAGATTATTTGTTACTTTTCATATTTTATCATTACTAAGAAGAAGACAAAAGAAAAGAAAAAGAAATAACTCCGATTCAGCATACATGATGTTTATTTACAGTCCATACAACAGCACGAAAACAAGTCCTTCACTATCTTCATCTATTCTCATCTATTCTATTTGTACGATCTCTTTCCTGATTATTCTATCTATTTCTATCATTATCTTTCATCTAACGCTAACTATCAAACAACTGAAAACATTCTCAAATTTACTCATTTGCAATACATGTCTGATCAGTCTGTTTTACTCATGTACAACATTTCTTCAAATCTTTATGGTCACCTTTGCTCCACTTTACTTGCCTGGGAAAGATACGCGGCTGTTCTGTATTGTTCGTGCCTATCTTACCGTTGCTTCTACAACTCTCCTTAGCTTGTCATTTCTTCTTCAAGCCATTAATCGACTGTTCTACTCAGTATTTCATACACATCGTCGACATCTGCTAACGTGGAAATTTCATTATTTCTTGATAGCCGTTCAATGGATTGTAGGATTTTTAACGCCGATTACAATCCTGATAAAACATGGAGATGTTGTACATCGGCCAAATATATTCTGTACAATTTCATTGAACCACACACTGCATCTCTACTATCTCTATTCAACAGCGTATCTGATGCCAGCATTATCCATCCTTCTAATCTACATAACAATTATCTATCGAGTGAACTACTATTCTTCTTCGTATAAACAGCGTCATTCCAATCCCGCTCGTGAAGCTAAATTAATCAGCAATATTCTCATTTTCGTTGCTATCTTTATTTTCGGTGGGCTGCCTTCGATCGTTTACATATGTGTGATGTCACCACGGCGAATTCTATCGATTCATTTCTTTATACTGACATTAGTAACGACACCCTTAGCTGTAGCAATGGAAAAGGTGTCTGTACTTTGGTTACACATACCGCTTAGAAATGCATTTATTAGATGTTGCTGTTGTGTAGAGCAAAGGAGAGTTAGGAAAAGTACGAAGATGAGTACTAGAAGTAAAATATTGATTGGTAGGAAAAAAATACCGGTGAATCATTCAATAAGAGATATAAAGTGAGTTCAAGCTCTCGGAACTCACACCATCACTCTCACCATCTGAACACAAAATCGGAGGAATGTGTTGTTACTGAAGGAATTAAATAGTAAAAGAAATTCCATCCATATATAAATAGTTTCAGATTATTGACAGATTTGATTTGTATATGTATAAGTGATAGGAATGTGTAATAGATTGTAACGTGTTCATTTTGTTTACATGTGTTCTATATGAAAATAGAATTTTATAAGATATAGATTTTAGATAAAAGGATATATTCACAACTCATCATGGCTTGAGGGTGTGGGTGGGTGGGTGTATGTGTGGGTGTGGTGGGTGTGGGTATGGGTATTAATTGACAAAAGATGGACATCCACACCCACACCCTCAATCAAAAATAATGAATGATGACTGCATGTTATTCTAGCGATTTTTATTCGATTTTTAGAGAAAAACTCAGTACCTATCTACATACGGATGTTGACTAGTATAATCTTAACTTGATTTTGGTAAAGATTAATAAAAAAACAATGACATTAACGACAAATCTTGACTCTCAAAAACCAATTGAAACTCATGTGGATAGTACCAATGATCAAGTATCATCAACTGAGCAAGGAAAAAACATTACAGGCTTTCGAACATATAAAAATGTGTTCGTCGTCTCTATTGCTTTTCTTCTTCTGTTCACTACATATGATTCTACAAGAAACCTTCAAAGCTCACTAAATATGGATGGCAATGTTGGAGTACATTCTCTATCGATTATTCACGGATGCTTTATTCTATCATCTGTTTTTCTACCATGCTCATTGATAACTGTGTTTGGTCTAAAATGGACTCTAGTCTTATCACAAGTGTGGTGAGTAAAAGAAAACTTGAATTAAGTGTAAGTATTAGTTTATGTTTATAGTTATCTCTTGTATTTAGCAGCTAATTATTATCCAAAAGCTTACTTGATATATCCAGGTGAAGATTCGATAATCTTTTTTTTTCCTATTATGCTTCATCAATTTAATTCTAGCTTCTGCACTTGTTGGTTTGACTTTTCCATCTCTATGGACGTCAGCATTAGGCTATCTGAGCGATTCAGCATCTACCTATGCTCAAACAATAAATGTCAACAAGGATATGATGGTGAGCCGATTCATGGGCATCTTCTACATGTTTTATCAATCAAGTGTCTTATTAATTTTCATCTTATCATCATGATTTTCATCGTTGATATTCCTTCTAGGTCAAGCGTGGGGCAACTTTATTACATATCTTGTACTCAAACCACATGAGGCAACTAACATAAACAGAACAATATCCAACACCACTAAAACATATGTCAAATGTGGCGCTGATTTTAGCGAGCAAGAATACCAAAGTATCAGTACAGATAATGGAATCAGTACTACAACGGTAAATAGGACAATAATCTTAATGAATGAGATTACCTTCTATAAACAAAACTTCTTTCTAGGTTAAAATTCTCTTTATTTGCTATATGTGTACATGTGTCTGCTCTATATTTTGGCTGTGATAGTTTTCCTGAATCAACGGCGCGCTGAAAGTCGAGGTCAGAAAAGTGCATCCTATTCAGTTTCGTGATTTTCATTCATTCATATCTAATAGATAAAATCTCAGTTATGGGTGGGGTGTGGGTGTGGATATTCTCTTAACCACACCCACACCCACACCCCACCCTTACGTTAGATATACATACTCTTAGTAGTTTTATTTCTGTATCAAAATTTTTGTTCTCATGTGATACGACCTCTATTCTTGTCATATAGATTATGAGCATTTGTTGAGTAACATTGAAATAATCATCGATTACAGCATTGGCTCGCTTGAGCTCATTGTCTCAACAATAATTAAGTATGAGACTGAGTGAAAAGTTGTAGTTTATATTTCAAATCTAGTCAGGCGATGTCAATGAAAAATTATTACGAATATTGTCAATAACTTGTGTCATGTGCCCCTCCCTTCAAAATTTCCTGGATCCGCCACTGATTTATGGATAGAAAAAAGAAAATAAACAAAAAAAATGAACTTCTTGTGGAATATAAAAGATTAATCTTGAGTGTTAAAGTGGAACAAATGAAGATGGTTTATCATTAGGAATATATGCAGCTGCTGTAACACGTCGAAATAAAGAACCTTTACGTGAATGGCATTTTCCATCCGAAAATGAATAAAAATGAACTAAGAAAAAAAAATAAATAAAAATTTTAAATAATTTTTATTTTGTAAAAATAAAAACTTACGAAAACTTTTATCAAATAAAGCAATAAATGATGATCTTGGATTTTTAGCAAAAGCATGAACATGCCATGAAAATGATTTAATAAATTGTCCATTTAAACAATTCCATAAATTGACTAATGTTTTATGACAAACAAGAATTTTATCACAATTATAAATAACATGTTCAACCGGATTTTTTCGATCAATATGAGCAAAACAACGTGAATATTCATAACGAGATTCTTCATTTAAATCATTTATTGTATCAATCCATACAGTTACTAAATGTTCAAATGAACAACATAAATTTATATTTTCTGATGTTGATAATTTATAATAACATAATACGGAACTTGAATATGAACGATGTGTATGACCAGATAAACAACGCCAATGCGATACACGTTCTAAAATTTACAATCAAATTCATCAATTTTAATTATCAAATATTCATTTCTATGAAAAATAAGTATCATATTTGAGAACAGTATGCAAAAACAAAAACTTTCCTCAGTCTTTATTCTATAAACTTTGACTTGTTTCGTCAGCGGATATTGAAGCTTATTTTCTCTGCACATAAATCCCTAACAGTTACTTATAGACATCAAATAGATAATAAGAATTAAATACTTGTAATAGGATTTTCTTGAACAAAAGTTCAAACTTTAACAAAACCATCATTTCCCGTTATTGCTAATTCAAGTTTATTTGGATGAAATAACATTTGATTTAATGTTTCTTGTCCATGTGGATATGTTATACTTGTATTTAATTCAAATCTTAATATAAAAATAAATTAATTAAAAAGAAAAAAGAAGAAATAAAATTTTTCTTACTGATTATTCGTTTGATAAAAATTTCCAAAATCTAAGTTTTCTTTCATTTTGATGATCATCAGAATTTGTATTTGATGAACATTCTTCAAATGTAACTAACCATGTATCTATATTATAAAAACCATATTTTAATTTATTTTTTAATAAATATTAAAAATAAACCTGTTGGATCAATAGTTAAACGTTTAATATCTGTAAAAATACATTGTTCAGCTATTTCATTTGGTGATACATAATTTTCTCCAACAATATCCAACTAAAAAACAAACATTATTTATATTAAATATTTTTCTATTTTCTTTTACATTATAAAGTAATTTTCCATTATCAATTGACGTAAATTGAAGATAATCTGGTTTTCCACTATTCATAACAAGAGCTTGTTGACAATTAAATGCATGAATACCTATTAGAATAATTAATAATTATTAAATTCATGAATAGAAGACTCATATTTATTTTTTACCGGCTGGTAATGAAGCTTGTTGTGGAAGAAATATATGATTAATTCCTCCAATTGTTCGTTAAATTGATAAATTACTTCCAATTAAATGAAGAGCTAAATAATAGAATAATTTATAAAATAAAATCAATAAATCGAAAAAAAACAGTTCGTACTATTATCTGAATGAGTACATGCATAAAATGTTTGATCATTTGATGAAGTAACATAAATTACTGGTGCACCAAGTCTTGGTTGAAATGTTGGTTCACTTTTTCTAAATAACCATTTAACAAGAACACATTCATGTCCACCGGATAATAAATATGAACCATCAGTTGAAAGTGATAAACATAAAACAAGTAATGAATGCCAATGTAAATATGATACAGTTGATTCTTTATTTGTTGAATTTAGAAAATTATACCTTTAAATAAAAATAGTCTTTTATTTAATATAAAAAATAAATAAATAAAAATACCAAAGAGCAATTCGACCAGATTGTGTTCCTAAAGCAAGACATTCTTCATTTGGATGAATTTGTGAACATATTATTTTATCATGATAAGATAAATTTTGTTTTGTTATTGCATAAGTTTTTAATTGATTTGTTTTTATATTTAATATATAAATAATTGTTCCATCAGCATTTATAAATATACCGAATTCACCCTTAATATAAATCAATTATTTTATTTATATGAAAATAATTATACTTAAATACTTTATTATCAAATGAAATATTTGTTGATAAACATGGAAGTTTTTCAAATAATATTATTGGAGAACAATTATGACGAATTGATTCAATTCGATTAAGTGAATATACTGAAATAATAATAAGAAATTTTAATTTGATTTTCTATTAAATAAATCTTTACCATTTTTGTTGTTTTTAGTAAAAATGTATAAACTATTATTTGACATTAAATACATTTGAATAAGTTCCATTTCAAGTTTTATTGTCTAAATACAGAAGATTTCAACTCTTAGAGATCAGATTGCATTTTTTATATGGTCAAAAACAGATTCAATTATAGTTACGCCCTTTTCTATTAAGATTCTCAATAAACGTTAACCATGATCTTAGAAAAATCAATTCATAATTTACATAATAGCACTTGTAAAGTCGAACTTACATGAATAAGAATTCCATCTTCATATTCTCAAACATTAATAATTCCATTTTGTTCTCCGACACATAACTAAATGTACGAATAAAAAAATGAACTTTTCTTCAAACTAATGAATAAAAATATTGGAAGTCTATTATTAGGATTAATTGCAATTGAAACAATTGTTTGTTGATCTGTTGAATTTGTATTATGATTTATTAATCTTAAACATTCTCCAGTTTTAACAATCCAAACATAAACACATCCATCACCAATTGTAAATACATATCCTTTAAAAATCTTATTTAAGTTAAATGATTAATAACAAAAAACTTACTTTGAATCTGATGATATTAATGGAGGATATTTCATTAATGTTCCAATACGAAATTGACAAATGTTTAATTTTTTCATTTTTTTAAAATCAAATCTTAATCAATCTAAAATAAATGAAAATTCAAATGTAAACAAATAAGTATCGATAGACATAAGAATATTCAATTCTTATGCATCATATGAATTTTATTTTTATAATAATATTAAATACATAATGATTCTCTATTTATATTCAACTGTCACTTTATGAAACCAAAAAAGAACATTCATTTATTCAAAAATATTATGATACCACAAATGACCTAAAATCCATAAAAAGATTAAAGGTTTTTATTTAACTTAATTTTAAATTATTAACATACTATGAATCCAAGTATCACATATTGCAAATCGTCAGCTTTGCTATCACGTTCCATTCTTTGATTTAACTTCTCTAATTCATCTATAATTTTCAATAGTTGCTCATTTACTGATCGATGGGACGAGTGTCGAGCGATAGAACGTCTTTTATTTCTGTTGGTATTTGTATTAGAAAATATTTTACGTTGATTAGCTATGCATGACGAATTATTGTTAATTGCATTCATAGACGTTTGTTTATTTGTATCTTGTTGAGACATTTTCTTTGTTTAATATCAAACAATTCGAATTTAAAACCTTTTACCTAAAAAATAAACAAAATTTGCAAGTACAACATAAGAATTTTATTATCAAATAAATCACTCTATTGACGTTAATTTGAACTTCGTTTTTCTAACTGAATATTAACAATTTTTCTGTCTTAGAAGAATTTTCATATATATAATGTTCAATGTGTCTGAGGCAGGTGAAAGGTCAATGGATAAAGGTCAGACAAACAAGATCGAATAAAGATACATGACCTATGAAATTATTGGCGACTGAAGCTGTAGAGCTACATATATATACAAATGTTCGAATGTTCTTATGTCTGCTACCAAGTCATAAGGTAAAAGTATGAGATCATACGTTAATAAAAAGTACAGTATAATGATGGTGTTCGTTCGTTTTGCTTGAGTATAAAACTCGCAATGGATCTATTAGACAAAAATTTTGCGATTTGATTGATACAATCGCTTCATTAACAAAGTATTTTTAGTTTTTAGCTTTCTTTAAACTACTTTCGAATAGATGTCATCTACTTCGTTCTAACAATAAGATTTGTTTAAAAGAATTTATTTTCAATGACGAGAAAGATCTTTAATAATAAAAGTTATAGATTCTGATTGACTGTTTCATTTTCTATAAAATTGTTTTCTTTAAATAAAATAAATAAAACTTACTTTGAATTTAATTATATAACAGGTGGATGTTTCAATAATGTTCTAATATCAAGTAGATGAATGTTTTAGTTTTTATATTTTAATCGATCTAAAATACAAATCACAAAAAATGTAATTTATTTGATTTTTTAATCAAAGATAAATTAAATATAAATTTTTAAACTAAAATTTGATTTAAGTTTAACAAAAATCAATATCAATAATAACGATTCGATTGAATCATCATTGATAAAATCAATCTCATTCTATGAAAAGGAAGTGGTGCTTTTTCCATGGGCTATGCCCCCCCCCTCCGCTAGATTTTTTTTCTTTTAAATATTTTTTGATTGGGACTCATGTGAGGATATTAGATCAATCAATCAAACCTTGGACATTTCTAGTTTTGGTGAAAAAATTAATGCTCAAAAGTTAGGATCATTTTAAAAAATTACTGACCCTGCTCTTATAGTATTATTAATATCTCTTCTATAGTTGCACTAATAGTCACCAAAATTTTACTGCATATATAGCTGATGTCTCGCTACAAAATAAGATTAAGATCGTCTTAATTAATTACTTTACTCATGAAGACCAGCTAACGCAAAAAATTGTGGGTGTGGGTGTGTGGGTGTGGGGTGTGGGTGTTGGGTGTGGGTGTTGGGTGTGGGTGTGGGTATTTCCATCATTCACACCCACACTCACACCCCACACCCACACCCCACACCCCACACCCATCCACACCCACCCACACCCCACCCACACTCACACCCGCACCCAGACCCACGCAATTCGTTTGAGCTTATCGTGTTTATCATTCAGTCAGCTATTGAAAAGATTTTGTTTTCTATTTACACTCTTCATTCTTGCCGATTGACATCTTTTATTCTTTAACTCTTTCACTCGAGCAAACACATCCTTTCAGTCTGCTCAATATTGCATAGTGTAAGTATGTCTGTTTCAATATGTCTCGAAAAAAAAACCAATAGGTACCCAGTTCTGATCAATGTTTTCTTTCAGATTGCATGCAACATATCGGAATCATGCAAGCTTTTAAAAGTACGTGTCAACGGTTACTGTTTTCATTTGTCTAATGCATCCAATAAGTCGTTAAGAGAAACGCGAAATTTGGTTTTCAAGGGATTGACGTCTCCTAATGCACCGCTTTCAAACATTTATTGCTGGAATCCACGCAATGATGCAAATAAACACGATCAAGATTCATTCTAATGCCTATTTTTGACTAAGGCAAATAAATACGCTAGAAAGAACTTTTATGTCTATAAAAGCAGCAACTATTTTTATTAAATGACAGTTCTTCGATCATTATGATGCAACAATTTCTGATTCAGATAGTGACAGCACTGTAAGTAATTCTGCCACGATAAATCAGTGATGGAGTATAATTTTATTTTTAGATATGCTGTCTACATTGTAACAGGTATGAGAAACTGATTTTTTTCAACCATTTAGACAGAAGTCCAATATGAGCTCATAAAGTTTATATTTATTTTTTCTTGGTTCCTGCAAATATTCATCTTCAAAAATGTTTGGTAATTTAATCTGTGATTTTTTTGATGAACTTCGTTACAGGTCAAGACACAGTCGATACACCATCTCCTAATTGTGGATGCTGTCCATCGCCGTACTGTCAAACAAAAAAAGTGCCGTGTTCAACAAATTTCGATTGCGAATGTTTGCTGATGACAATGACTGGAGGAGGAATGTGTGCCGATACAGTTATGTCATGTAAAGATTTGGTTTCATGTGAAAATGATAATAAGACATGTTCAGTACCCAATACTGTATGTGTGAATAACACTCGATGCAACATTCCTGTTTGTTATCCGATAGACCGTGCTTCTTTCCAACGGTGTCCATCTCTCGCCCTGAGAACTTTAACCAATACGACTGGTAAGTTTTTTTAACTGCGATGCTAACGAATATTACAGAATTAGTATATAGCTATGCAATCTTTGCCATATTTTTGCAAGGTTGTTTTTTATATTGTGTCCACTTCTGCGGTAAAGCTATAGGAATGACTTGGATCTTATGGAAACATGTAACTCTGTCAAGGAGTGCGATGATAAAGTTTTTATTCCAAATTGATTTAGTCCTAAAAAGTCAGAAAGATGTGTGTTTATGCTTTTCTAATATAGATTTTCGATTCTTACTACACTTTATCTTCAATCCTACCGTTGCCAATATAAAAAAGAAAGCACATGGATATTTTTAAACGGCTTTGAGAATACTAAGAATTGTCAAGAAAAGTCTCGTTGTGGCACGTCAAGTTAGTCTAATAATTAATCATCCATCACAATAAAATCAATTTATTTTACTTGTTATTTCAAAATGACACAAACTCTAGACAGCTCAGCTTTCCATCATCGTATAGAGAATATCATATAGTCAAGATGTTTGTTTTACGAGTCTTTTATCTTGTTTTCTTTTCTCTTCATACGAAAAACATTGAAAATATGTCTTTTTCCTTGAGGAAAAAATTATTTGTACAGTTTTAAAAGAAAAAAAAACTTCATTCTCTAACCATCATTGGCACCAGCGAGATGCTATTAGTTAGTTTATGAGATAGTCTTGAAATGAGTACTTCCGAGTGGAAAAGTTCAATTTTGCGATGAAAAAACATTCGGCAGATTCGATATGTTTTCCTCTAGTATTTTGATTTCCCCAGCGATAGAAACCTTTTGGATCACAATGAAGGAAGGTGTCTGAATGGCCTACGTCGTACCAATCAGCATACATTATCACATGTATTTTGGATGCCAATTTGATGAAAATAAACTAATTAAAAATTAAAAAAACGATGGACGACACGTCGGTTTCCTTTAGTGTACATCAGAATATTGACATCAGAGAAATTATTTTGCATGACTAATTCACATGGGTCGTGAAAACAGATAGATATATCAAAGTGTATCGGAAAATACTCAAGAGACAAAATCCGAATTCATTCATATCAAGTCATCCTTGTTCGAACAAAATTATAGCTCAACTATCAGGCACACCCTATGTGCATGAAACAAAAGAAATTGCGTCATCCCGAAGCATTGAATGGTGTGTGGATGCAGAAGCATATGCGAGTATTCTATTTACCTATCCTGAATCAGTCACGTTAGCTACTGATTGTTGACAAACGATTCGAAACCTGGTGTCCACACACTTAAGAATGGTGCCCGTGCCTAGGAAAAGATCTTCTACTTGTACGTGCGCTTTCACGAAAATACATGTAATGAAGTTGACCGTTGCCCACTGGTAACATTGCATTGGCACCTATAGGACATCTTAAGACAACGACCAAAGATCAGCAAAAAGTTTCATACCCGCTGCAGAAAACGAAAATTCTTTTCTGTGATTCCGAGAGAACGAAAGAAAACTTGTTCAGTTCTCTTCTGTTAAATGTTCTTCTTTTCATAAGGCGTGATGTTAGAAGAACATAAACTTTTTTATTTTACATAACAACTGACTAGGTATAACAACACATAAGTATATATATCATCAGAGAGAAGAGGAAGAAGAAAAGAAAAGATATGTGTGGACGTGGAACGGAGAGAGTGGACAGTGAAGAATAAATGGCATGATCGACTTTATAGATGTCAGATCATAACACCCTTTCCGGCCAAGAAAAAAGTTTTTTGTTTACAAAAACACTTTTTTGAAAGACAAGTTAGAGAAAAAAAATGAGAGAAGAACAAGAAACAACATGTTTTAAAAAAAATCTTCTGACATGATAACAAAAATGACAAGAGAAAAAAAGAAAAAAAATAACAACAAGAAACTGTTCGAAAAACCAAAAGAAAAGGAAAGATACATATATATCATAGAGAAAAAAAGGGGGGCAAAATGTATTTACTATTATAGTTCTTTTTTTTCTTTTATGATCGATGTTGAGTAGATCGACGATATAAATGATAATGATGTCGATCAACAAATAATAGTAAATATCATTAAAATATACGAGTTAAGAATAAAATAAAATAAAAATAAAAAAATGACATAATTTGTTCGAGACAGGAACACTCCTAAGCGAGAGGTTCCCTAATATATATATTTGTTTAATGTTTATGTTTGTAACGTTCCTTATTTGATCATGTAATCTGTAAGGAGATGATGGTATATTGATAATTAATGCGCGCAAATTAAAATATCAATATCTCCACATACATAATGAATTAATGTTGTTCCAAGTAAGTCGTTGCGCATACGTCAAACATGGTCGAACATCAAATCATCGTAAACATGACAAAATATATACATTAGCATTAAATGATCATTAACAAATAAATAAACAAAAATGCTTCACGTTGATTTTGGAATAGGTATAGGTC